AAACATAAAATACAATATTAATTTACCATACTGCGGGTTATTGTAAGACACTTTTAGTATTCATAACAAACCATTTCCCCATATATTAACCCTTATGAATTCATTATAATGCATGTATAATGCATTAACTAATTGTAATTCAGAGAAAGTGCTATTATTTCACAATAGCTCTTTTCTGATGGTCATGTTACGGTGTTTGCTTGCACGTCTGTGCACAAACACACAAATTAACCCTTGGCATGTTTCTCTTCTAGCCAACGCCGGGGCCTGTTTTCCTAAGCAAGGTAACTCACCGGACAAATGGCTCCCTGCTCTCACGCTTCAAGTTCATTTGTTTTTCCAGTCACATATTTTTTGTGTAACCATACTGTCTCCTCCTGGCTGTCTCCCTTCCCTTCCTATGTGCCTTCCACCTCGGGCTGTGTTGTCTGTCAGTTAGAGCACTGATAAAAGGCCAAGGACTGTCAGAGTGATGCGTTTCCTTAAAAATGGACAGCAGAATCAGTAACTTCCAGACAAGAGACAGTGAGAATATGTAGAGAAAGTGGCAGAGGGTGTCAAGGGATGGAGGGAAAGCTTAGATAGATGGACAGGAGTTGGTGAGAAGGATCGAGAACAAGGACAGATATGAAAGAAGTGTTTCTTCATGTTCCCATCTGACTTTCAGTTGCCTAAAATTTCAGTATTTTGTTTTTCTATGTTTCCTTAGAAAACAATGAAAGCCACTTAAGGTGACAAGCAGCCATATCACAATGGAATATCCAGCAAAACAAATTCAGTTTGAGCCTCTTCCTTTGATCTATTGCAGAAGCATTTTACTTTTCTCATTTTTCTTCCCTTCAGAACTTGAAATCAATAATTCTGCAAGGAACCGCTCCATTCTGGTGGCAAATAGTCTAACATCCCACCCCATTTTTCTCTCTCTCCTCTCCTCTCTTTGCCTTATTTTTTCAACTCTCCTTCTCTCTGCTCCATTTGTTTCCACCTATGTGTGCCTGCTCTGTGTGTATGTACGTCTTCACCCTGAAACCTTTCTGCATGCTTGTGTGGGTGGTGATTCACCTCTTTCTTGCACATTTTCCACCCCTTCCTTCTTCCTTCCCTTCTTTCCTTCCTTTCCTTCATCCTCCCTTCCCTTCTGTCCTCGTCCCTTAGATCCCGAGCGTGGTGGCAGTCACATGATCTCCACAGATGACTTGGAATATCCACGGGAGTACCGGACGCTGGGGAACAGCGCTCGACGCTTCTCCAATGTGGGCCTGGTGCACACGTCGGAGCACCGCCACACCGTCAGCGCTGCCCAGAGCCTGGAGGCCCTGACCAACCTGCACAAGGCTGACATGGAACGCAAGAGGGACGCCTTCATGGATCACCTGAAGAGCAAGTACCAGCAGCAGCAGCAGCAGCTGCAGCATCCGCACCACAGCCCGCACCACAACCCGCCATCGCCCTCACCCTCCCACGCCAGCATGAGGGGTACTTCAGAGCGGTCTGCACGAGAACAGGTATGGGGTTCACCTCATCATGAGGATTTTTTACCCTTGAAAATAATTGTGTCTGACAATCTATCATCCCAGTGTCATTGTTAAAATAATGTTAATGTATTAATTAATAAGTTTCATGTTTTCTATTATTACTTTACTGTCATTTGTAGACATAAGACTTAGTTTAGTGCTCAGTATGTGTTTCATATGTGTTATTAAACTGGTCAATACTGTCAATATGGACGGAAAAGACCATCACATACTGTATATACTTAATAGTTTCTGTGGTATTATGTTATATGTGTGTTATAGGCAACAAAAAGTCTCTTGTCAGATAACATTCAGAGTGAACACAGCGTAATGTACACACTAATGCACATTGTACACAATGCTACACATTGTGCTCATTGAAATAATTGAGGGAGAGAAAATAAATAATGGAAGGCTGTCAGGTGGTCTTTGTATCTGTGTTATTAGAGGTCGTCAATAAACTGTCACAGCCAAGCTGTATTTCTCTGCTGCCAGAACCTGTAGAACATAGATGGGCAAGATTGGCACTGTTGAGGTGTGAAAAGAAAGACGAGAAGTCACACTAATACACACATTAAAAGCACATATGCTAATGCAGCTCTCAGAACACTTGAGGGTAATGTTTCTCCTGTGCTCTTTTTATCAGTCCTTCTCTTCCTCCAAATGTTGTTTATACTTTGACCAGTTTCATGCCTCAACAACTTTCTCACATACACACACATGCACATACTGTGCTGTACACAAACACACTCCCTCTTTGTGTGAGCACCACTGCTGTGTGTGTGTGTTACAAAAAATGGTAAATTCTGTGTAATGACGTGAAAGAGAAGCACATCAGCGGAGAGGGGAGGAAATGAAAGGTACAGAGAGCGAGTGAGTGAGGGTGGGCGGGTGAAAGACAGGTGGAGTCCATAGTTGCCGTGGCAACCTCTGCCATAAATGGCAAGTAGGGATATCGCATTGCAAAGGTCAGGTTGTGCAGAGAAGGAGGAATTGTACCCTAATGAAGACAGAGAGGAGAGAGGAACAACAAGCTGAAGGCAGACGGTTAAAAAAAAAAAAGCCAGGAGAGTGGACATATCCTGAAGTGACAGGGCATTTTCACTGCACAGGGGAGGAAGCAGCAAAGCCCAGGATTCCTTGTCATCTTGTGGATGTGCGAGGCATGGACAGCAAGGAAGGAGGGAGGGGGGGAGGAGCTGGAGAGTAGCGCAGCATCCAGTCAAGCAGCCCGCTGCTCAATTAGCCAGCACCAGCAGGAACCAGCCACCCATCTGCGAAGGAGTTAATCGGCTGGTGTTGTAATGAATTAAATAAAGAGTTTCCACCGCATGTGCTACTGGAGAGCGAGACAGCGAGGGAGAGAGAGGGAGATTTAGTAAGGGAGAGGGAGGGAGGGTTAGAGAACCAGAGGGAGGGAGAGACGGGCAAAAACACGATGAGGATTCGCTGCACCTGACGGACAGCCTGGGATGACTGGAGTGGTGGACAGGCACAGGTGCACTGCAGGTGAGACTGGACTGGAAGCTTGTAACTGGAAGCTGGAGGCTGTTGTAGAGAGGTGTGTGTGTGTGTGTGTGTGTGTGTGTGTGGGATAAAGATGTGCCAACAAGGATTAGATTCCATGCCTGTTGTGTTTGTTGTGGTTGTTGTGGTGACGGTGTGCATATGCTCAGCAGGCAGAGACCCAGGCTAGACGAAGGCTGAGTGGACGATATTGTAAACTGTATACAGAGCCTTTTGTGCGTCTGTTTGGGTGAGCGTTCATTTGCTGTGCAGACTAGTGCAGGTAAAGAAAGAGAAAGAAAGGGAGAGAGGCTGCGGTAACGTCATGACACCAAACTAGACCCGAGGAGGATTGAGGGGGAAAGCGTAAGAATGATTGAAATGGGGGGCGGGGGTACAGAGAGGATGACGACATGAGAAAGAGACGGGGGTGGAGGAGGGGTGGTGTGAGTGCAGCCTGCTTTACATGCAGGTCAGGTAATGCACCGCTCTACTCCGCGAGGCTACATCCTTCTGTTGGTGCTCTGTGGCCAACTCCAGTGAGTGCACATACACGGCTGTATGTAGATGTATGTATATCTTTACTCAGCAGTGAAGAATGCATTTAGCCCCTCAGCCTCAAGTTTAATTTGACATCTCAAATATACATAGTAACACTGTCGCCTTGGGGCTCACAGCATATTTAATTCAACAGGAGGTTAAAAATTACATGTACATTTGAGCTAAATAGTAGATCCTCTGTCAAGATTTTCGTCTGTCATCTGGGGTTATGGCTGAGTGAGATGTGATAATGATTGACAGTATAAAAAGATTTCTGTGCAGAAGAAATTAATTGATTGCAGTGACGCTTGCCAGGATGGAGAATGGTTTACAAGTATTAACATACATTAAAACGGCTCCCACGAATTTGCTCTCACACCCTCTCAGTGCAGTATTTTCAAAGTCCAGGTTTAGTGTATCTGCAGCTATCAGAGGAGCAACAGTTAAAACAACACGAGGCGGTGAAGAATGAATGTGTTTACTTTACCTGAAAACTGTGAGTAAGCCTCATTAAAGCAACAAACAGAGAAACACTGGCAGAGATAGACACACCAGACCACAAATCACTTCTGCACCATTAAAGCCAGCCCTCAGAGTCATTTAGCTTTGTGGGAAAATAAAATCATTAATGTTGTCTGAACAAGTGAACAGCAATTATTTATGACGCACCAACGGTGCCCCTGAGCTGCTGTCAGTTCAACAGATTGTCAAGGACGAAGCTTTACTGACTGGCTACACAGAATAAATGACTGACACATGGTCAGGTAGTCAAGGCCATTATGAGTCCAACCTGAAAAAGACCTTAGGTATCCCTGAAAGTGACCCACTTTACCATGACCTTTTCACCCCCCACTTCAGACTGAGAATTAACTTTCTCACACTTGTCCCTGATAAACAGCCTTGTTTTAAGCTATGTTGTGTGCATTTTTGAGATCATCAGGTTTAAGTGTTTTTATTATTATTATATTGACCCACATTGGAGAATTAAATCCTTCAGACTGTATACATACATGGTTTTCACTGGACAGCGACAATATATGGCATTAAAAAAACAGAACAACCTGCTAGGAGACAGAAAATCTCCTCAGCATCTCATCAAAGAGTTGTCTTAATAATAATTGCTTTGACATATGTTGGTATAAATTTATATGCCATGGGGAAAAGGAAGCGTGGGTTGAGATTATGCTCCATATCATTTTGAGTGTCCCACTTGTCTCAGTGCCGGCAAGGCAAGCCGCTCCATGGTATGTGCACTTTTTTTTTATCACTTAAAATTGTAAAGAGCACAAGTTCCCTGTCCATCGTCCAAACATTATTTGGTAGACAGAATAATACACAATAAAATGCCTTGAAATAGCTACTGCTATTGAGAATGCAGGTTATAATTTCAGATACATGTTAATTTAACCCAATGAGTTGCATTATGTTTCTGTTATTGTGTCCAGCCCCCACTATTATTATACCATGGCTATGATGTGTCCCATTTCCATACTCTACTACTACTACTAATACCATACTCAGCAGGTTCTGAATATGTAGTCCATTTAAACTGCAAAGATGACAAATAATGTATGCTCAAAATTACTAAAAACAACCTTGATTTGTGAGTGTCCTGTTAATGTACAGACTATTATTCTATGGTGCAATATATAATGTGAAAGGGCAAAAAAATGGAAAAAAATTGTAAATGGTGGTAAAACCACTCCAGAAACACAAATGAAATGTATTATACTAAAATCACAGTTTAATTGACACCCAGCTGTGCAAGTGTTGTGGAATTTAAACATGGAGATTTCTTCTATACTCACTGTAAAACAGTGTACTATATAGATAGTGCACACTCTACTACTGTATAATGCAAGTTTTATTAGCAGTGTTATTCTGAAGTCAAAGTTTGATTGACAATGACATTTTTATCATCTATTTGTACAAAACTGTAAAATCATTTATTTCATTCATACTAACAGCTAAAAACAGTATGTATACATGCAGTATCCTATAAGTGCGTAATATAGTATTGGGACACGGTTCTAGCATCTTTAAAATCTGTAAATGGTTACACTGCATTAAACCAGATGTTACTTAATAATAGCTCATTGTCCCCTTGGCCAGTAAACACTTCAGATTATTGCAATTATAACACGTAATATTGTATCAAAACCAAGTACAAAGTTGCACCACAATACACAAAAAAAAGAGATAGAAGAGAGAGTGAGAGAAGAGCTTAAAGTGAAAGAGACTGTCAAAGTGTGGCATCAGGGCCAAATGAGGAAACATTAAGTGAAAGATTAGTTTACAATCAGGTAATAATCAGTGGCAAATGCTTCCTCTAATGCTGGTGTTTACTGAAATAATGTAGGCTTTTGTTGTGACAGTATTAAAATGGAAGGCTTATAATGAAAAACCACCAAATATCATAAATCAAAACTTGCCTGTCACGTTTTTCTCATCTCTGCGCCAGGAGAGTAATGTGGCTTCCACAGAAGGGAGACTGAATGGACTGAAAATTGCCTGCAGATAAGAATAAGAAATAGAATAAGAGTTTGGGTTAGAATTAAAATTCATGAACTCTGCACAATCTTTTTTTAATTTTCCATGTCATTTTGAGGTATTTCTGGGCCATCTGTGGCTTGGCCTGCTTTTGACTGTGGGGTAATTATGTTTAAATGGAAAGCTCACTTCCTGATGCCTTGGCCAACATGCAAGCACCCTTTCGTACATGGCAGAGCAGCAGGAAGGGCAAATGGAGAGATGAGAGATACAGAATGGGCTGGTGACAAAAAGCAGGTGAGCTGGTGAGGTTTAGATGAAAAGATTACCGCAGGTGCATCAAGAGTGAAAGAGACAGCAGAGAGCAAAGAGGAGACAGAGCGGTTGCTTGCCTGTGGTGGAGAAGTCTGGGAGAGAGGCCAATGTCACTACAACAGAGTGGGCTGCTGTTTGATTCGATTTCACTCTTTTCATTTCCTCCCCTTCACCAGTTACAGCCAACAGCACAGTCTTGTTTCAGGTGTGCTGTAACCCGACGCCCGCAAATCACACCAATCAAACTTAATGATTGTCGTTTAGGTAGTCACATTAGATGAAGCTGTCAACAATATTAATGAGTTACAGAAAATAGCCTGTCAGAAAAGGAACAAATTACACGAAAACAATTTCTGAAATGCTGCTGATAATGATTTTTCTGGAGGATGCATTGTATTTTTGTGTCAAAGGCCTGCACTCAGACTGCAGTTCAGCTTGTTATGTGCACTGTTTATTTATTTTTTATTTTTTATTTTACAGTGGTTTGTTTTTCTCTGTGAACTTGAGCTATTATTAGAGAAGTAAGTATCTAACTTTTCTCCTTCTGTCTCCCTCTCTTCCCACTTTTGTCCTTCATGAACTCCACAGCAACAGCCCAACTACTGGAGCTTTAAGGTCAGTGCCTGTCTAAGTGTTCCTGTGTGTTGTTATTCTCTTGTCCATTGTGTGTGTGCGTGCAAGAACATTTCTGTGTGTGTTCTGTGCTGTGGAATCACGTCAGACTCCTCGGGCATCACCAGCCTATCTCCTCAGTCCTCTGGCTCATGCAACACCCAGCTCACTTGGCATCTCTCAGCTCTTTGGGCAGTATGTGTGTGTGTGTGTGTAGGTTTGCCGTGGTAGAGGTGTCAGGGGTGGCGGCAGCTTAAACTTCTCCAGCTCCATTTAATCTGCAGAAGACGATTCTCTCCGGATTTATGATACCTCAGTCAGCTAGCATTAATGGCTAGAAGCCATGTGACCTTGCTGAAGTATTACTCAGACTGACTGAGACATTAAGAAGACATTTCAGACATGCCACTGAGGCATTACTGAAATAATGCTTTGACATTAGCACAGAGGCTTGAGTCATGACTGGGCTGCTGAATGTGTTTTATCCACAGGTTTGCTAAGCGAAAATATGGGTTGTATATACTGGAGAAGGCCAGCATCAAGACGTTCAGTGTATATCACTTATGCTGAATTTAAAGAGTTGAGTCTTTTTGCTAGTTGGTATGCATTGTAATGTGCATTCCTTTGTTGTGGCATTACACCTCACAGGCAGAAAGGTATGCTTTCTAAACAGAGCAAGTTAAAGAACATATTGATGTGTGTGAGTGTATGCGTGTGAGGGAAGTGCCCAGGGCTTATCTTCAGTGTAGTCTTCCCTGAATCCCTGCTCACAATATCATTTGGACAGGGTGGAAATGTCAGTGAATATCAATAGCCATGTGCCCTGACCCATGGGGAAAGCTAAGCAATTTATCCCTCGCTCCCAGAAGTACTTTAACCTCAAACAAGAGTGATATGTAATAGAATTTAGAGCCCTATCACATAAATCTATTACACAACCAAAACAATTTAAAGTCTGCAGGACTTCCAGGTGGTTTCCAAAACACCGTGGGTATGTTAGTATAAAAATCTAAGTTTTAAATGTCAACAAACAAATTCTGATGTTTTTTTCTGAAGAATTTTTTCCAGCAGTGCTCAAAATGTTGAAATGCACTTTAAAATAGCGCTGCTGCAGCTAACAATGATTTTTATTGCCAATTAATCTGCAGATAATTTTCTCGATTCACCAATTGGTCAATAAAATAATGAAAAAATGCTCATTAGAATTTCTTAGAGCCAAGTTGATGCCTTCAAATGTCTTGTTTTGTCTCAAACTCAAACGTTCAGTTTACATTGATAGAAAACAGAATAAAGTAGAAAATATTCACATTTTACAAGCTGGAACTGTAAAATGTGTTTTTGCTTCAAAATTGAATGATAATGAAGTGTTTATCAAAATAGTTGCCAATTAATTTTCTGCCAGTCCACTAAATCAATAGCTCGAAATTGTTGCAGCTCAAAAAAAAGATAAAATATTGATGCCTCACACTCATTAGTGCACTGAGTTGCTGTTCTATTAATCACTTATTTTGTTTTGCAGCAGCCAAAAAATGCATCAAATGATATAATGTAACCATCTAACTAAGAGTTAGAATTTATTTATCGGCACCACACTGTGCTGCAGCTGTAATAAAATGTAGAATGAAACAACCAAAATGGTCCATGTGGTAATAGATCTAAAGCTATTTGCTTTCAACACACACTCTGTTGTTGACACCTTTTATGTTGACACCTCATCCTGCTCAATTTTCTTCATTTCACACTAAAGCTTCTGAAAGCCCCATCCTACTCCCTCTTCCCACCAGCTCTAATCTAAGCTTGACTTTCTCCCTGGATTCGCCTGCCTGCTCAAAATAAACACTAAATGAAACTACTGTCAGGATGGCACTGCACTAATGTTTTTACCTTTGAAAAAAATATGTAGCGTAATCAGTAGCGTATTGCATACACACATTTTTTAAACCTCTTTGATGAAAATTGCAGGTGTTAGACATTGAACAATGCACAGTTAAATGTATATCTAAAAAAATATTGTCTGCAACACGTAGTTTTTCACAATGTTCTCAGGCAACAGTTTCTCTATTTTCTATCAGAAAAGAGAATCTTTACCAGCAATCTCAGCTACCATCTCCCATCTGGAAGAAAACGCCATTTTGCTTCTTCTCCCTCTGAACAAAACGATGGCATCGACACACAATTCACAGCAATTTGGCAAAGCAATTTGTTCCATGCATTGATGACTCCTGGTATTATAAAGAGACAGTACTCTGGGGGTGTTGGGGGTTGGCGATTGTGTGTCCAGGCAGATGATTGGCCTGAGAGTTGGAAAAGATGGAGAGAAATAATGATAGTGGGGGTAGAGACAAACAGATGTGAGAGATGGATCAATGATAGGGAGCTGTTTTCTCTTTCCATTTTCTAAAAGGGAACTTTTTTGTGTGGAAAAATAGCCAGGTTACGGGTAGAGGGAGAAAATCCAAATGCAGACAGCAACAGCACAAGCATGGCACTTGGATGTGGTTTTGGCCTCTGCCCCTAGAAACTGAGGAGAAGGCAGACATGTTGACGTAAAGCAGCTCAGCAAGAATCACATTTGAGCTTTGGGAGTGGTGGGAGAGGAATGAGTGACGGGATAAACAGTAGGGAGAGTAAGACATACAACTCGAGGCAAAGACTGACACAAGCTTTTGAGGAAGAGAAACAGAACAGATACGCTGTTACAGCGTGAGGTTGTGATATTAACCATTTAACACCTGTCTCTCAAGTTATACCCAGAAATAACACTTTATTATAATTTTCACACACATCAGCAGCAACAATTGTATGCTCAGCTTACCTCCAGGCTTCATGAATCCCCACTTATATTTAGTACCACTTACCAAATCACAACTAAGACATTTATAGTCTGGCTAGTATATTTTTGTGGCAGTGTAGTTCATCCATACTTGCTCTTCTTCTATGTGCAAGAACGTCACATGATACAGAAATCTTGCGGCTTAAATTTGCCCTAACTTAAGCTGGGCAGACACTGCATTTCTTTTAATATTTTACATTTTAATCTGTCTTTCTGCACAGTCAGAACCTGCTACTTTAATGCTCCCTCGGTATGTGTCACGGTTGCTCATGCTGAATGTAAACAGAGAACCCCTCAGTCGGTTTTGTCAAGTGACAGCTGATTCAGACGAGAGAACCAGTGTTGAAAAAATGAGACAGGGAGACAATATGTTCAGTCTTACATAGTAGTATTGAATAATACTGTTTAAACAAGCTCACTATAGTTTATGAAACATGTTTTGAGATTAGCCATGTGGGAAATCAGACTATGGAACTGCTCAAATTGCAAACAGCCAACAAAAATCAGAGCCAGATCAATGATGGTTCAGGCAGTTAAAAAGTCCTTGTGAGCCCCCTCAAACAGCACATCAAATGACAACTGATCTGGCAAAAATTCAGCCCGATTCTAAAATGAGTCGCTGCCACCAATTCAAGGTTAAAATCTGGCCTAATTTGTAAAGTGCATCTTTTCTAAATAGTTAACAGATACATTTACATCTAACTGTCCAATAAGCATCTGCACTGCTTCATTACAGTATGTACTGTATGTTAAAAAATGGTTCTACTGTTATTCCTTTGTGTCTTTCACCTAAATATTCTGTGGGTGAACTGCAAATCAATTTTTAGTTGACATTCATATTGAAGAGAAGCCGAGAAATTCTGTTTCCCATTGTACGAGGTTAAGAGGTTTGCAGACTAAGTGAGACAACACTCAAGTGTCAAATGGAGTTTGATGAGAAGTTCTCTCCCAAAAAATGAATGTACCAAGGTTACCATTACTATAAAAAAAATACCTTAAAATAGAACGTCCCAGTGGATGTGTGTGTGTGTGTGCATGAATGCGCTCGTGCTTGTGTGTATAAGCACGCTAAACAACATGGTGGGAGTTGCATTGAGTTTAATGCAGGTTGTTGCCTAAGGTCTGTTGTCAAGCTGCAGTGTCCCTCTTTCCATTCCATGTGCTTCTATTCTATGTAAGATCATCCTGTTCTCTACTTGTTCCTCTCTTTTTCCATGCCCTTATACCAGTGTAGAGTTCTCGACAGTAATTGAGTGCTGTTGAAAAACTCTGCATCACTCTAAAAGAAAAGGTTGAGTGGGAGGGAGGGCAGGAGGGAGGTGTAGAGGGCCGATTGTAGAGTAAAATAAGAAGGAGGTAAAACCAGTTCCCTTCAAAGGAGGCTGTGAACACCATCATGTATAACACTGGCATGTCTAACAGGACCAGATGCATGACCAGATGGTGTGTTCACATATAAAATTTACAATGTAAAATTACTGCAGCGGGATATTTTCAGTTTTCATGTCACATAAAACACCAATATGGAAGTCAATGTTTGGAGCCTGTTGTAACAAGGAAAGCTGACTAAGAGCATATATCACGACAGCTGCGATAAGCTTACACACACATACTGTACATACATTGAGCTTTCATTGTCTTGTTAAGCAGCAGATGCATGGTAGTTGTTGAGAGTAGAGCATTGCTCACTTTCCCAACACATTTTTTTTTTTTTTGAGAAATGTACGATTTGAGTCTGTGAGACATTCAGAGAAGCGAGCTCAGTCATGCAGCACCATATTCTTAATTCTCCTTTCCTTTTCATAGAAAGCTCCAACTAGGTTATTTACCCTTGAAATAAAATCCTTGCATGCACTAGTAGAATGACTCAAGATTTCGAAACAGAGTTGTGTTTCTGTCTCAGCCGTGCCGAGAAAAGTAAACAGATACGCATGGAAAAAACTGCTTTGACATGTTTTAGACTTGGTGGTCTTTTCAGCCATTCCTATTCAAAGTGAAGGTTGTTATTGCACATTTGTATGCCAAATCTATTTCTGGGTGTTACTTCTCCTGAGTAATATGGTATCCTGGGAAATCTTATTACCAGCCTTTTTTTTTCATTAGCACTGAGAAGGTGATAGGCCTATATATTGTAATGACTATTTGAAAAAATGTTTTAGTTTCTACAAGAATAATTTGACATTTGAGGGAGTATACTTGGCCCTGTCCAAGGGTAACAAAACCAGCACCTCTAAAATGTTTGTTTTATTCCTAAAAATAAGTATACAAATAAAATGTAGCTGTAAAGTAGCTGTTTGGCAGTGGGTTATGTGTCGGATGATTTCTTGGTTGAGACCGGTAACCTCCTGGAGTTTCTGGTGGTTGCCTGGCAACTGCTTAGAGCCAAGGAATAGTCAGTTATATTTGTACAGAGCCAGGCTAGCTGTTTCCCGTGCCTTCAGCCTTTGTGCTAAGCTAACCAGCTATTTGCTGTAGCTTCATATTTACTGTACAGATATTAGAGTGGTATCAATCTCTTCTTCTAACTCTTGGTAATAAAGCGGATAACTATACTATAAACTATTGAACTACTCCTGTGAATATGAAGTTACTGTATTCATAACTTTTGCTTCCTAAAATTAAAAGAAGGGATTCAAAGGTATAGTACTGTATCTAAACCCTAATGTTTTTCATATCCCCCTGTAGCTGGCCAGAATATGATACACTGAAGTTGGCCTATGTGCTGCTCCTCTGTGGTGCTGTTGGCTGTGTTTTTGTTCGGTGTGGTCACACTTTAGATAAATGACCCTATTAGAAAACATGGTGGGGGTTATCTGTCAGCATCACCGTCCCTCTGCGTGCTCAGACAGTGTCTGCCACCACTATCGCTGGACACCACCACTATCATTCTGTGTGTGGGTGTGTGTGACCGAGTTATGCAGGGTAGTGACAGAAGGAGCGTACGTTATAAAAAGGATTGCTCTACTTTTTCAGCCGTAATTGGGGTTTGTAACTCGCCTTGTAAACACACATGGATTACAAAGCAGGTCATTTAAAGAGCAAATCACCAATGGTAGTAGTAATTACATGATGCTACAGCCCATTTAGTTTAGTTTACTGTCGTACAGCAAGAATTAGTTAACTAATTGATTGACAGAAGTTTAATCAGGGACAGTCATTTAACTTACTGATAAATGAGTTACACTTGGTTAGTTACAATTGGAGTTACAGTTGGTTAACCCATTTATCAAGCAACAAGACTTCAGAGTCTAAAGCCATGTTAGTGGCTCTGGGAAGCTTTATGCTAACATTGTGATCCATAGAGCCGCTTTCATGGCTGAAAATATAAATCATCTGATGGTTTCAGTTTATCCATTTCTCTGATTTATTTACATTTTAATTAATTAAACAATGAATTAATTGAAAAAAACTATATGAACGCAATTTGGAGTTGCAGCCCTAATTTACTGTGCAGTGTGGCCTTCTGTCTTATTGCTTAATTAACAAAATCATAAATGTGTGTATGAGTGTGTTCTTTGTAGTTCTGCTGAGAGTCAGTGAGCACAGAGATGGCCCTCTGTGTGACTTCTGTTAGACTCTCACATTAATTAAATCCTGCACTAATAAAAGCCACAGTAGATCCATGCTGCAGTTTGAGTCAGGCTGAGAAGGAAGAGAAGGAAATCCTTGGAAAGGGTGGGAAAATGTTCATGGTGAAAGGAGGAGGAGACAGGCACAGCTACTGTACTGTGGCTAAGGATGTGTCTGCCTCTGCCATCCAAACAATCAGCAGACAGCATTCTGGGAGCTCATTACAGCAGCCTCTGAGCTGGAGGAAACGCTACAGCGGTGGGGGATCAGGGAGCCAGTTCAGTGAGCTCAGCCCCAGCTGCACTAACAGTCTTTCAGTGGGAGACGCCTGGGCATAGGCCAGCAGGATAAACCCACAGTGACAGCCCAGGATTTGCATGAGCTTCTCCTCCCATCCCACAAGCACTCGTTTAAAGTTTGTCGCAGCACAGGGACAAGAGTTTGGATGAGGACTTGTGGGAGGTGTGCAAACATGACATAACTTATACTAAGCCAGAGCACAATTTCCGGCTTAATTTTGCTTTTTACCCACCATAGGTGATTCATGTAGGCTGATGCCCCGGAGAGCTGTGCCACTTGAGAACAACTATATTGTGTTTTTTTGCTGCAGCATTCAACTGATGTCAGATACTGTGACGCTAGTAATTCTTAGTGAATGGCTGGTAGCTAAACCATTGTCAAGGTCTTGTTAATCTTGTTATGTGGTTCATTGTGTGATGTCTCATTGTGTGCTCACTGTCTCTTTTCCTGTTGGTCTTACTCCATCGGCCCTGTCCAATCCATTCTCTCCGCCTTGATTTTACCTCTTAGTAAATTATTGTGTCTCTCCTCCTGCAGAGCCGCAGTCCAAGGCATTCCCAGTCTACTCAGTCTGGGCTTGCCGACCAGGCCGCCAAGCTCTCCTTTGCCTCCGCTGAATCCTTGGAGACCATGTCAGAAGCAGACATCCCCATAGGGTTCAACCGGATGAACCGATTTCGCCAGAGCCTGCCGCTGTCCCGCTCTGCCAGCCAGAATAAGCTACGATCTCCAGGTTAACATTTGAAGCTCTGCTGGCAGGCTCTGTCACAACATGCTGGTTGGACTCTAGGCAGATTTGCAGCTGTCTGTTTACTTCATGTAGCTGGTGATGTGAACCTCTGTGCTTACAGAGAGTGGGAGGAGTGTTATACTCTCACCTCATTTAACATAAAAGTTTTAGCTTAGTCTAACTGGTCAGCTACAGCGAAATGGAGAATAGTTAGTCTAACACAACTTTCTTGAATGGTTAGAGAACTTCTAACAACTTTTTTGCAGAACATATATATATATAATGCAAAATGTGTAAGCAAACCTCGTTTCATTAAGTCTGTGCAGGTGTACTATAAGTGTGATAGTATAGTTTTTATATTTAATACAGATATATCATACATAGTATGGAATTATTAAAACATATTTTGTTTAGGTAGTTATTTTGAGGACTGTTTATTTGAGTGTAATACTGCATGGCTGTGTTTATCGTACAGGACTGAGGGTATGTTTTTGTGCAACTGCAAGAATAAACAGTGGAGAGAGCAGAGTCAAGGACAGATTTACTCCAAAAGGGCCTTGGGAGCGTAGAGAGGATTAGTGTGAGGCTGGTCCAGACTCATAAAGACCAAGGTGTGGTGTTACATCAAGTACACTGAGATGAAAAAAAACGTTGTAAAATTAAAGTGACAGTGACTGAAGTGACTGATGAGTTCAGACACAAGTAGAACAGCAAGTCCCCAATCTCTCCTCTCCATGTCTTTTTACTAACCACTCTCTTTGTTTTCTTCTCTCCCCTACTCATCTGCAATATCTCACTTATTTTGCTTGACTTTTAATCACTGGTCTTTCTTTGCTTTGTTTGTTCTTTTTGTTTGTCCCACGGTGTATGAAGATGAATTTTCAGGTTAGTCAGGCGTCAGACTCATTTTTACCTATGAAATAAAGGGTTGCAGCATCTGACAAAGTTTTCCATGAAATTGGGCAATTTAATATCCATTTTTGGTATTGACTACTAATAATAAGTAAAGTAAAAGTTGTATTTTTATTTTATTTTATAGTAGTAAAAATCAACCATTGCACCTTAGCTGTGAATTCTCACAAAGCAACCACAGTCCTATTTTCACATTCAGAAAGAAAGAAATGGTGTTAACTCTGTCAGGGATTGTTCATGCTGATATCTGATTCATTATCTGGATCTCATATACCAAAAGGCAGAACATTTGGATCATAATTGACAACACTATATCTTTCAAGATGGCAAATTTTTTTTTTAACCAGATTTGACAGAATTGCTTTGGTAGTTATTCTTTCCATCTACTAAACCCATCACTTTCTGACTCAACCGTCTTTCCCATATCCCTCTCTTTTAGGAGTGCTCTTCCTGCAGTACGGAGATGAGACACGTCGGGTTCACATCACCCATGAACTGAGCAGCCTGGACACGCTGCACGCACTCATCGTGCACATGTTCCCTCAGAAGTTGACAGCAGGTATGCTGAAGTCACCCAACACGGCCATCTTGATCAAGGACGAAGCGCGCAATGTCTTCTACGAACTGGAGGACGTCCGGGACATACAGGACCGCAGCATCATCAAAATTTACCGCAAAGAGCCTATCTACGCTTCCTACCCTGCTGCTGCACACCTGGCTAACGGAGACCTGAGGGTGAGGAGAAGGGAGCTGGGGGAGTGGGGAGGTGAAGAGGGCAAACTGTTTTTTTGGGGTTTTTTTTTTTTAGAAAGAATGCTGTCTGATCTCCTGCTAGACTGATGTTTGACAACTGAGCCGTCAGTAAGAATCGCTACAGTTGTGTGATTCTACAAGAGGAGCAGTGTGCTTCTTTGGCAAGTTAATAGTGTTTTTTATATTTCATGGTAACTTTGACAGGCTGTTGCAGTGTATGTGGGTTAGTAATTTAACAGGTATTCCTCCTGGAAATGTATTTTCTTATCTTCAAGTATGCCATCTGTTGCTGTGCAGACACCAGAGAACAATGTTCCTCTGTGAAATGAGCATATTTTAACATCCGAAGCTATTTCTGCTTCGGTGAAGATCAAGGAAGCCTGAGGGAGACCTTTTTTTAATTATTTTATAAAAAAAACCCTGCTTACCATCTGCATTATTCACACAATACTGACAATACTACTGCTATTATCCATGCAAACAGGGAGCGAAAAATGGCAATTATGCTTGTGAATATTTTGTGTGCATGTACTTTGCTGTAAGTTTTTTTATGACGTGGTTGTGCGTGCTTACATGGTTGTTTGCGCCTGTGTATACAAGAAGCAAAAAAGGAAAAAGAGGTAAAGACTGACCAGCACCTGTAGAACTGTAGAAGCATATATACATTTTAATACACCCTAAACTGAGTTTGATACTAAGGAATCTTAATGGCATGATTTTAAGCAACACTTTTATTGGGCAAAACCAAAAAATGCACAGTCTGTCTCTTCTTTATAACTGTTAAGAACTAAACGCAGGCTGCATTTTAACAAGCATCTTGCCATTCATTTGTTCTGTGCATGTTGTCTGTCTGGGGCTGTCTTGTGGAGCACCTTGAGACTTAAGCTGTGTCGTTTTCGGTTTTGTTGCTTGTTTTACCCATATAGTTTGTGGAAACCAAACCACCTCATATAGCTGTGTGAATGTACAATATGTATATTCATTTGTCTGTGAGCATAAAAGCAGCACAAATTCCTTTGTTACACTCCGGTATTTTCTGTGTATTACATTGTGCCGCATGACAAGGTTACCTAGGATGCTGAGAAGTGAATGGCAAAAAGAAAAACAAGGATGAGATAGGCAACAAAAGTAGTTATGTGACAAGGGAAAACGGAGTATTTGGCTTTCAAAGGCTGCAGAAATGAGGAAAATCACAGCAGGAGAAACATAGAGGCAGAGGTGGGTTGAAAAAACCATTGGGGCATGTCTAACGACGTTGTAATGCTCTGCAAAGAACGGCAGGTGGAGGAAGATAAAAGCTAAGTTGAAAAGGTGAAGGAAAATAAAAGCCTATTCGAACATTATGGACATAGACATATTCAGTTGTCCTCACTATGAAAGAGTAGCTTCACCTCTGGAGTCCTATCTCGACTAAACTAAACTGAAAAAACTACATTTGATTTGAGATTATACTGACTTGTTGTAATGTAATGATGAGCTAATAACTCATAGCTAGGAGAAGAAAAAGGGACAAGGACATGTGTGACCTCATGAAATCTACACAAATTGGCCAGTTTATTTTATTGTCTGTCTATTTTATTTCATTCTGTCATCACTAAATTCTGATATTTGACAAATATTTTGCGGCATTCCTTTTTTTAAATTTTTTTTTAAGTTATATTTTTGGCCTTTTCATGCCTTAATTAGATAGGGACAGCCGAAGATAGNNAAAGGTGGGTAGAGAGAGGGGATGACACGCAGCAAAGGGCCGCAGGTCGGATTCGAACCCTGGCCGCTGCAGCAACTCTGTATATGGGTTGCCAGCTCTACCAACTGAGCTAACCGGGCAAAGGCATTCCTTCTCTTCTTTTGGGATCCGCTGACTGTGATCGGCTGTCTAATGTCAGTCTGATCTCAGTCGTCTTCACGTCAACTATCACAACACAACAAAATGCTCTCATCCGTAGGTCTCCATGGTAACCCTCATCCCTGCTTGTTCATTTCAGAGGGAGATGGTGTACTCCTCTCGTGACTCCTCCCCAACTCGCCGGCTCAACACCCTCCCGTCCTCTACAGCCTCAGCGTCCTCTGGTTCTCCATCCCGCTCACGCCTCTCCTACAGCGGGGGCCGTCCTCCATCCTTTGCCGGGTCCCATCCCCAGCATGAACAGCCCCGACATCCCCACCATCCCTCAGCCGGCCACGCTGCCAACGCAGGCTTGTCTCCCTCGCCCAGCGCCATCCTGGAGCGCCGTGACGTCAAGCCTGATGAAGAAGTTTCTGCAAAAAACATGGCACTGATGAAGAACGAGGGGCTCTATGCAGATCCTTACAGCCTGATGCACGAGGGCCGCCTCAGCATCGCCTCCACACAGTCATTAGCTACCATTGGAGACCCCTTTAGCTTTCCTGTTTCCAGTGGCCTGTACCGCCGTGGCTCTGTGCGCTCACTCAGCACCTACTCAGCCGCTGCTCTTCAGGGGGACCTAGAGGACTCCCTCTACAAGCCTGGAGGTTCACTCTACTCTGACACATACTCCTCAGCCACACTGGGCATGGGTTTTCGCATGCCACCGTCATCCCCACAGAAAATTCCAGACATGCAGCTGAGGGACAGGGACTCGTATTCTAGCTCACCCAGCAGAGCCTCACCTGTCAGGCAGACCTTCCGCAAGGACTCAGCCTCCTCCTCTGTGTTTGTAGAGAGCCCAAAGTCGAGGCCCAGCTCCAGTTCAGAGCCTCTGTGTCTGACAGCCGGGCCCGGGGATGGTGGTAGGGCCACGCCTGGCTTTGGAAATTCAATGTCTGGACAAGACTCTGACAACAGCAGGTTAGTACCAGACAGTGTGGTAAATTTCATTAAATTAATGTTGTACTGTTAAACGAACGACCTTAATACATTATTTCTCCTACATGAACACACATCCTACATGTCCTACATGAACACATATAAATAAATAAAAATAAATAAATAGTAGTTATTTTGCATTAAAGGTTTCTGTATTTGTGTTTTTAAGTTGGCAGAGCTATGTTTATGTTTCTACTTCATTAAAAGCAGAAACTAAAGATTTAAAACCAAGTTTACAGGTACTCTACAGCACAGTGTGTTACATATTTATATAGAAATAATGATTTTGTGTCCATTTTTATGTGCAATTTAAATTTTTTTTTGTCCGCCCTAATGTGTTTAACGTTTGGTGACACATCTGTGGTATTTACGTTTGCAGGGATCATCGTCTGGAGCGTATGGAGGCAATGGAGAAGCAGATAGCCAGCCTTACTGGCCTGGTCCAGAGTGTGCTGACCAGAGCACCAGACAGTGACAGCACGTAAGACTCGCCATTATACCCCATTAACCCTCTAAAACTCACAGATACAGCTTCAGCTTAGACACATTATCGACAGGAACAGCAGCAGGCTATTATCAGAGCCATTATCAGCTCTATAGCAGTGAAGTGATACATTACATTGTGTGAGCACAGCACAAGTACAGAGCACTAAACATTAGCTGTGGGGCACAGTGCTATTGATTTATGCATTGATACATAGAGATATGTAAGATAGCTTTTCAGTAGAGTTCTTCATTGAACATTGTTATCATGGCACCTGATGAACACAGTAAGGGCTCATTAACAAGAAGATAACTTGTTAATGTAATCAGTCTGATAGTGTCCAGGAGTAGTGCTGTTAGCGTTAGCACTGTAATTGCCTTGCCCTGTGGCCGTTGATCCTCAGATGCGGCCTTCTGCGTCTCTGCATGATGGCGGGCTGCCCTCCGGACCAAGGGACGGAGTTCTCACGGCCATTACCTTTCTCTTCCAGCGAGAAGACCGAAACCAACAGCGACGGCTCCGCTACTGGAAGTGAGTACAGCTGCGTAATTGTGACCAGTGTACTCACTAGCCCTCTTGTTACTAACACTGTTGCCATGCAAAACTCTCCACTGTTACATTCTTTAACTGTGTCATTTCCCTGAATTCAATGCAGCAGTATTTACAGAGGATACTGGACACAAATGAGCAATGATGGTGACCTCCTGGTTTATGACAAATTCAGCTAAATTTGAGGGAGGGAGAAAGGACAACATTTCATCAAGCCCAGAAGCTGCAGTCTTTATCACCTGGTCGGTTCCATTAAGAATTGTGGAGTTGGTCATCTGGTCCGAACCAGTGTTCACACAGACTTTTAACTAATGGACCCAAGTCACTAAACATGTAGTTATACAAACTGAGAGGTAACTCATTTTTGACCGTTTTGATGGCTGTTATCACGCATCATCAGCGCATCATCAGGACCCCCATGGGGAAATCAAATTCTTGTGACTGATGTCACGCAGCATTTTAGTTCTTATTATGAGTATATTTATTTTCTCCGGTGTCACAAAAAAACTTACAAAGAAATAACTGATTGGTGGGAACTGGTGTTATTACAAATCTTTATATGAATAATGACAGGACAAGAAAGAGGTGGCTTGTACCGAAATATTACTGTGGAATCATTGTGTCACACCGAAATACGAGCACAAGATACAAGCACAAGACATGGCAGTTTTATCAGCTTTTGATTGTCTGGTTGATCAAAATGCTGATGTGCACACATGTTACCATGGTAACTGGTTTGCATAAATATATTACCTACATTTCTTATACAGATTATTTAATTTTAACTGAACCAAACAGGCTACGTGTGAACAGACTCTAACACTCATGGGGAATTAAGTGACATTTCTACCTCATTCATATCTCTTTTGCTTTTCCTTCCTTTTCTCTTTCACTATCTTTATCTTTCTCCAAATACTGAAGTTGAAGAATATCATTCCAAAGGACTCAAACACTGCTAAAAAAAAAGTATGGCTAGTCAAATATCCACTTTATAGGTTTCTTAAAGTTAGATGCAATTGCAAGACTTTAAAGGAAATTGCAAGACTTTAAAGGAAGAGTCAAATGCCTGGGAAAGACAGTGTTGTCCTAGTCGAGAAAAGTATTCATCTCATCAATTGTGGCCAATCTCAGCACAAAAACAGGAAGCAAGCTCTGTCAAAAATGAAAAAATATACCTTTTAACAGCTTGGAGCTGTTGAAAGGTGTTAAAGAAACAAACAAACATACAAGACTCTTAATATAACCTTCTTGGCGAGGTAATAAGAAGGACAGCTTTTCCAAGTATTTGGAGGGTTTATTTTTTTCACTTTACTATCTCTGTACTGGATGCACAGAGATTACATTTTTTGTTTAAGTGTATTTCTCTAAATAGTAATTTTTTCAGCATAGAATTTTTAAAATACTGACAGGAATAATTTTTCAACAGGTGAATACTGAATAAAGCCCTTGATCTACCTGCTTGCTCTCATCCCTGTTCTTTTTTCTCCCGTCTATAATTTTGTTGCGCCATTTTGGCACAAACAGACCTTTTCTGTCGCCAGACCTTCATTGGGCCAGTGCAAGGACTTTGAAACTTCCTCACAAATTGATACACTGCCAAAAAATACGCCATCACTGGAGTCATTTCCTCTGCTGTAGTCAATAAAAATGATCATCATTCTGTAGAAATGAACTTTTAAAACTTTCCTCTCCCTCATTGTCTTTCTATCACCCTCTCATTAATTTCTCGGTAACTGGCTCACTCTCTCTATATTCCAGCTGGACGGCTGAAGCACAAAGGTAGTTGCCATCTCCTACTCTATCACCCTTTTTATTTCTCCTATCAGACATATCTCATGGCTCTCTGCTCTCTGTATGGGTGTGTGGTGTTGCTGGGTAGCTGGCGGTGTCTGTCTTCACGTTATCCTCCTGGTTGGTTTCCCGGAGATCGGAACCCCCTCGTCCTGTCCCTGTCTCTACTTTTTGAATTTCTGCTTGGTTTTTCCTTTGGGAATTTAAGAAGGTTGTTTTGTCACAGACAGGACACTCGTTTGTAAATGTGTATGAGAATGTGTGTGTGTGTTCAGGAGGCATATGTGTGTGTCAGAATAGCTGGGGAGTCAATGGCCATACTCACAAAGCTCTGTGTTAAGATAAGAGCATGGTTATCCCCCTGTGTGTCACTGCTGAACAGACTAATTGCACTTCTATATGGGTTACTAATAGCATGAGCTCACGTTTCTCCCAGTGGGCAATTAGAGTTTTGTGAATATGGCGCTTTTTTGCATTCACACACTGTATTTATTCCAGTGTGTGCATGTGTGTGCCCAGATTTTCTGTATATGTACATTTCTTTGGGCGAGTCGCCACCCGCGCGCTTGCGGCCCCGTGCTCGACCCGTTGTGTGTGTTTGTTGTGTGTGTGTGTTATTGTTTGTACTGAGTGTCATGCTGGCTGACTGCAAGCCTCACTGGAGCATAGCCCAGCAAACTAACCAATTTGTTTCCCAATGACCTCCTGCTGAACCCTATGTCCTGCTCTGTGATTGGCAGCTCATACACCATCAGCACCTCTAGCTCTGATGCCGCCGCCACCCTCAAACACAACCCCGGTGAACAGCCTCGGCCGCTTGCAGATGCAGCTTCACCTGCACGGCCTGCAGCAAAATGCCACCGACCTGCGCAAACAGCTCACCCAGCTACGCAAGACACAGGTATATAGTATATCCATGGAGAAAATATCACCAGGTGGCATTTACAAACAGTAAAACGTCTACTGTATCACTCCTTGGTCTGTGAAGCAGCCTCTTAAAGCCTCTAGTCTGGTATTTTTTTGGAATCAGAGTTTATCATATTTGGATTAGAGCGTGGAGCCGGGGAGGATATGCATTGCAACACGTATTAGACAGATAAACAATGCCCTAAAAAGTGTTCCTGAAAACATTTGAGGTGA